CGGGTGCGGGTGTGAGGGCCATGGAGAGCAGCAGCGCGGGCCGCTTGCTTAGATGAGGACAGGGCAGTGCTGCCCGAGGGGCGTGTCAGGGTCCTGGGGCAGCCGTGGCCAAGGACCGCGGGCTGGGGGCTTGAAGCAGAGATATTTGTCCTCTCCCAGTTCCGGGCGGGGGCCAGGAGTCCAACACTGGGGGGTTGACAGGACTGCACTCCTGCTGAAGGCTTTGGGGACAGTCCTCTCAGTGTCTTCCTATCCTGGGGGCTCCTGGGGGCTCCTGGGGCTCCTGGCACTGCCTGGCTTGTGGCGGCATCTCCACCCTCTGCCCCCATCATCACACGGCTTCTCCTCTGAGCCCCTAGTCCTCTTCCCAGAAGGACACCGGCCACTAGTGGGTCAGCGCCCACCCCATCCAGCGTGACCTCAGCTTAGCTAGACCATACCTGCAAAGGTGCTGTCTCTAAACAGCTCCCTTTCCCAGGTCCTAGGGCACGTGAATTTAGGGGGCACCCTTCGCCCCAGGACAAGGGTCTTCTGCAAAAGCCCGTGCTGCTGTGGGGTCCGGTGGCTCTTTGCCACCTCACAGGAGCCTCCCGTGGCTTCTCCTGGCCCAGGCTTCCTGACCATGGGGGACAGATGGCCTCAGGGTGGGAGGGGCTTCCCTTCCCTCCCTGGTGACTTGCGGGTATTGGAAAGTGTGGCTGGAGTTGGATCTTTTTAAAAAGATTTTATTTATTTATTTTTAGAGAAAGGGGAAGGGAAGGAGAAAGAGAGGGAGAGAAACATCAATGTGTAGTTGCCTCTTGCACACCCCCTACTGGGACCTGGCCCACAACCCAGGCATGTGCCCTGACTGGGAATCGAACTGGTGACCCTTTGGTTCACAGGCTGGCGCTCAATCCACTGAGCCACACCAGCCAGGGCTGGAACCAGCCATGGTTCTTAATGTGCAAGTGGGGCCAGACTCTGGGGACAGGCGAGAAGGTGGGCACCCTGTTGGAGAGGACAGTGTGGCTGGAGCTCTCGGGGCAGAAAAGCCAGGCACGTGCTTTCTCCTCACGGCCCAGGGTCTGCCGGGCCACGATGCCGCGTCCTCTTGTGAAAGCAGCTGCTCCTGCCAGTCCTTGCCATCTGGCTGCCGCTGGCCACGGCGAGATCAGCTCCTGACCACTGTCTCAGATGCCCAGTGTCCGTGCAGTCTCCAGGTCCCCTGATTCTGGTGCAGGGCCTGAATTCATCCTTGGTCACCATGACTTCAGCCCCGGTTCCCCCACCCTCCTCCCGCCCCCGCCCCTCCCAGAGCTGTCCCGCTGCTGTGAAGTCCCTGATGTGTCTGCCGGCCTGGTGGGGGAGGGGTGGTGAATAAGGCATGTTTAAACCAAACGTACAAATGTTACAGTTTCTTTTTATTATGGAAAAACTTGCATAACAACAAAGCAGAGGGAGATTCTGCCTTTGAAAGCAGTATTTGGTATAAAGAAAACTGGCCCCTCCCCGGCCCCGGCTCAGCAAGGGCGGGTGCTGGGGGCCCAGGCAGCGCGTCGGCCGGCCAGGCCATGCGGGGACTCATGGTTCCTGGTCCCGTTTACTGACCTACAGGTCACAGAAACTGGCGATGGAGAGGACAAGAAACGAACTCAGGCTTCCACGTGCCCAGAGTTGTCTCAAAGTTGCCAAAGTTTACTCCGCACGGAGTTTTAATGAATGTTTACTCCCTCGTCTTAGAGGAGGAGACTGAGTCAGAGAGGTTAAGTGGCCGGTTGAAAGTCACACAGCGAGGCCTGGGCCTCCGGCCGGGCCGCAGCTTCTGTTTGGCTCTGGGGCCAGAGTTCCTTACGCTTGTCCTGCGTGGCCTTACTGCCGCGGTCACAGTGTTCCTCAGGGCACACTCCCCTGGTCAAGCCAGACCTGGACTCATACCTCAGCCCCAGTCCTGAGCCAGGTGTTGGCTCCCTGGCCCTCCGCCCTCTGCCCTCCGACTGGGGCCTGCCCTGGTCCCGGCCCCACTGGGACAGCGGGGAGCCGTAACCTGCCCCGCCGGTCTTTTGACACTGTTTCCGTAAGTGCTGACTCTGACTAATGCGTGGCTTTGTACATGAACAGCTTGTTTGTGTAAGGATCCTAGGAACTGGTTTCAAAATACACAGCCCCCAGCCTCAGGCGTCCCAGCTCCGGGAGGGTTGCTGCCCTCCGACCACGGACCCAGGACGACGCAAAACCAGGAGGACGTGAAGCCAGGATGACTAATCCAGGGCGACAGACTCCAGACCATCGCTTGCCCTGTTGGGGTGGACCATGCCCGTCTGCACGTAGAGAACCTTTCGACCCCCTCCCTTGACCTCTGTGTTCTGCTACCCCCTCCCTCCTTATAAAAGCCTCTCCCTCCACGGAGAGGGGGAGATGGGCTTTGAAACAAGAGACCCCATCTTCCAGGTGGCCGGCATCTACAAACAAACCTCTTCCCTTTGCACCAGCACCTGTCTCGTGAGCACTGGCTTTTGTAGCAGCAGGCAGCCGGCCCTGCGCTGGGTTACACCACCACGGCCTTTCTGGAGACAGGTTTGCTGTCAATCTGCTGGTGGCCGGGGCAGTCCTGCCATGAAGCATGTTTCTTACAGTGGTCCCTGTTTCTAACAGTGGTCCCTGCACAAGTCGGACCCCGCCAGGGCCCACACTGCACAGCTGGAGCGGCCCCCCTGATGTCCACTCTGGACTCGGACTGCCGGGCAGCACACAATGTCCCGCGACCCTCCCCCGGCATCCTGGTACCTACATGTCCACCGGGACGCCGCAGTCCGTGGTGAGCGAAAAGGAGTCTTCAGACACAGCCAGGACCAGCGTGTGCCACTGGCTGTCCGTCAGGGCCGGGCTGCGGAAGGACACGCGGGTCTGCCAGGCGCCCGCCCTGTCCTCGCTGAGGAAGAGGAAGTGCAGCCGGGTGGGCGAGTACCGCAGGCCCAGCAGCAGCGCGTCTGGCCCCTCCGCCACCACGGTGAACAGGTACTCGTTCTTCTGCGAGAGAGGGCAGGCGGGTGAGTGCGGCGGGGAGGGAAGGCTGGCGGGGGCGGGGCGGGGCGGGGCGGGGCGGGGCGGGGCGGGCGAGGGTGGGCGGGGCTCCCAGCTACTGGCGGCTGCTGTGACCCTGTCCGTGATGAAACCCTGTGCACGCTGCTCACGCCTAGGACCGTGGCCTGCATCAGGAAAACGGGGAATAGCGAGTGTTGGTGAGAACGTGGAGAAATATAAAGCCTCGTGCCCCGTGGGCAGGAATGCAAAATGGGGCAGCCTCTATACAAAACGAGACAGCGTTTCCTCGAAAAATTAGAAATGGAAGTACCCTGTGATCCAGCAACACCCCCCCACCCCCCCGCCAATTCGCCATAAATCCAAGCAGACTAGCAGCAGGGACTCAAAGAGACACTCGTGTGCCCCTGCTCACGGCACGCTGCTCACGAGAGCTAAGGCAGAGCGCGCCCCAGCTGTCCGTCCGCGGAGGGCGGGCGGGAGAAGCACAGATGGTGTGGCCCATCCGCACCACGGACCGTCTTCAGCGTAAAAAGGAGGTTTCTGCACCCACGTGGGCGAACCTCGAGGACACGACGCTGAGAGACGTGAGCCAGGCACAAAAGGACAAACACTGTGCGGTTTCTCTAACTCGAGGCCCCGGGACGGTCACCGTCACAGAGACAGAACGCTGAAGGGTGGGTGCAGGGGCTGGGGTGGGGGTGGGGAGGGAGTGTTTAAAGGGGACAGAGCTTTATTCTGAGAAGACGAAGAACTTTCTGGAGACGGACAGTGGTGACGGCTGCACACCAGTGTGAGCATGCTTCCTGTCACTGAGCCGTGCACTCAGAGGTGGTTAGAACGGGCCCTGGCTAGTGTGGCGCAGTTGGCTGAAGGTCATCCCGCATAGAGAAAGGTGGCCGGTTCGATTCCCAGTCAGGGCACGTGCCTTAGTTTTGGGCTGGTCCCCAGCTGAAGCGTGAGTGAGAGAAAATTGGTTGATGTTTCTCTCATTCTCTTCCTCCCTCCCTTCCCCCCTCTCTAAAACAAACAAATAAATAAAATCTTTTAAAAATGATTACATTGGTAAACGCCATGTTATGTGTATTTTACCACAATTTAAAAACCACACACCTCCCGCCACTATGGTGACCTCCACACCCTGCAGCCCCTGCCGCACGGACTACAGAAACAGTGTACTTGACTGTAAGCCATTACAATGTCCAGACTATGAATTCCTAGGCCAACATAATTAAAAGGGTCACAAACTGAAAGTGATGAAACCTAATGCTAAAGGAGATCTATAACATAATTACAGAGTATAATCCCCCCCCGCAAGTCTTTGCCCATGTAACACTGTGACCCAAATTCCATGCAACTATTATTCTAAAGACATTAGAAGCCTCCATATCCCTCATATTTAATTGAATGACTAATTCAGTAAAATCCACTTGGCTCAGAGTGGGTCACATGGTCTCCGGCCACTCCTCCACTGAACTTCCCGTTTTGGGGGTGAGTCCCACCCGGTGCCTCAGCCAAAGGACTAAGGCCACTGCCCTTCAGGATCACTCCACCACTCATTCCCAGAAACACTTGGGGCTGCAGCACGATGTCTGGTGAAAACCACCCATCCCCAGACCCCGCACTATGAAATCAGACGAAGGAAGCCATCAGGTGATAAAGAGAGTTTATTGGAGAGCCTGAGGAGATGCTGACAGGCTGAGTGGAGGTCAGGTGACTGAACAGAGAAACATGGAGGGAAACACAGGGGACCCAGGGGCAGGTGGAGGTGCCTCCTGGGAGGCAAGAGGCTGGGGAAGCAGCAAGGTCAGGGGTTCCTGGGAGTGGAGGTCAGGTGAGAACAGGGGGGACTGGGGGGACCCCATCCTGGGCGGGGTCAGCCATATAACATGGGTCAGGACTAAACTGAGTGGTGGCTGGGAGGACCACAGTCACAAGGTGAGACCTGAACCCAGCTGGCCCTGAGGGGACATGCCCGGTCAGCAGCAGGACTTCTGGGCTGAGGCAGGGACACAGCATGCAGGTCTGCACACGGGGCGGCAGATGAGGGACACACAGGAGGCCGGGCGGCAGCAGCTGGGCTGGCAGCAGGAGGAGGTGGGGGCACAGCAGGAGGAGACGGGCACGCAGCAGGCAGGTCTGCACACAGGGCGGCAGATGACGGACATGCAGGAGGAGGGTCTGCAGCAGGATGAGGGGCAGGGGGTGCAGCAGACGGGCTTGCAGCAGACAGGTGTGCAGCAGACGGGCTTGCAACAGACAGGTGTGCAGCAGACGGGCTTGCAGCAGACAGGTGTGCAGCAGACGGGCTTGCAACAGACGGGCACACAGCAGGAGGGCTGGCAGGGGGAGGAGGTGCAGCAGGAGGGCTGGCAGGGGGAGGAGGTGCAGCAGGAGGGCTGGCAGCCAGACTGCTGGCAGCACAAGGGTGTGCAGGAGCTGGTGCAGGCTGATTGGCAGGGGCTGGGCCCACAGATTGCCTGGCAGTAGGGACTGGACACACAGCTCACTGGGGCACAGACGAGGGTCTGGCAGGGGGCTGGGGCACAGCAGCTGGGGACACAGCAGGAGGGCTGGCAGCAGCTGGGGACACAGCAGGTGGACTGGCAGCAGCTGGGGACACAGCAGGAGGGTTGGCAGCAGCTGGGGACACAGCAGGAGGATGGACAACAGCTGGGGACACAGCAGGAGGGCTGGCAGCAGTTCTCTGGACAGTCGTCCACCTGCCGGGAGTCGGTGCAAGAGTCACTGGAACCGGGCAGGCAGACACGGTTGCCATAGCTCAGGTCACTGGAGCAGATGGACAGGGTGGAGGCGGCCATGGTGGGGTGGTGGGGCTGGAGGTGAGCTGGGAGAAGGTTTGAGTATGAGTGTGAGTGTGTGTATGAGGTGCCCAGGGCTGTCGGCTTTTATATACACACCTGTGTGTTGTCCAAGCTGGAGGTCCCCACGCCCTCCTTTCCGTGTTGATGTTTTGAGAGCCCTTATGACCTCTGGTTTGTTTACAGGAAAGAGTTTGCTGCTTGTAAAATGCCTGTCATGGTTGACCCCCTGACCTGCACTTGGTTGTCTAAGCAAACAGCACTGGAAAAGTCTGGAGCCCTGGAGCCCCGGCAGCCCGCACCTGCCCTGCTCCACTCCCCAGGTGTTCTCGGTGCCATTGCTGGTGACCAAGTCAGTGACAGGGCAGCAGGGGCTGACCCTGGGACACCGCTGCTCATCCGCTGTAGGACGTCCCTGCACGCAGGAGGCTGGAGAGCACGCAGACCAGCCGAGGGGAGAGCAGTGGAAGGGAAGACAGACTAAGAAGGCGTCCACCGCGGCACAGGGAGACAAGTAGTTTGGGCTACTAGAGCTCCTTTTCCTTTCCAAATACACTAGAATCCGCTTGTTGGTAGCAAAAATGAAAAACTAAAAAATAAATAAAATCCTGCTGGAATTTGAGAGGGATGACCTTGAATCTATAGGTCAATTTGGAGGGGACTGGAGTCACAACATCTCAACCCCTGAACGTGCTCTAATTCTCCACTCGGTCACCTCGGCTTTGGTTTACCCCCCAGTGGTTTTCCAGTTCTCCTTATGGACCATTCTGTCTGATCTACACTGGCTTTCACTTTCTATTTTGTTGTCAGTCATACTTTCAAACAAAAAATTCTACAATCCAATTGTTTATTGCTATTACACAGGGGTGGGCAAACATAAGTTAAATCACTAGCATCATTACCTAAAATTTAGAATGTAAGTAAGGATACAAAATAATAATGAGAAAAAGACAAATAATACAAATAAATAATATGGTAATTAATAAATAATACAAGGATAAATTTTGTGTTTCATGTACTCACAACTGTAAAGTTACCATTGCCCACTCCTGTATAGAACTACAGTTAATTTTTATTATTTTAAGTTTGTATTCTTCAAGCTTGCTAAACTCTCTTATATTTCTAGGAGCGTTTTTAAAGCTTCTTGAGGGTTTCCTATGTGGACCATCATGTTTTCTGTGAATAGAGATGTATTATTTCTTTATTTCCAATACATACACCTTGTTTTCTTTTTCTTTTTCCTTTTCCCCTGTGCTGGGAAGACCCTCGGTAAGATCAAATAAGCGTGGTGGGAGAAGGCAGCTCTGTCTTGTTCCTGGTATCGGGGAAAAGTGGTGTCTTTGACAATTGAACATGGTGTTGGCTGTGAGGTTTTCATAGATGCCTTATGTCAGGTTAAGTATTTTATTTGTTTGTTTGTTTGTTTGTTTGTTTATTCTGATGTCACTGTAAACTTTTAAAAATCAAGGAAGAGGGAACACTCCCTAATTCATTTTCTAAGGCCAGCACTACCCTCACATCAAAGCCAGACAAAGACACCACGAGAAAAGAAAACTGCACCAATATTCCATATGAACATCGATGGAAAAACCCTCAATGAAATACTAGCAAACCCAATCCAGCAGCGCATTCAAAGGTTTATACACCACGACCATGAGGGCTCTGTTGCCGAAATGCAAGGATGATTCTACATACAAAAATCATTTAATGTAATAATGACATTAAAAGACTGAAGGAAAAAAAATACATGATCATCTCAATTGATGCAAAAAAAAAGCATTTGACAACACTCAATACCTTTCATGATTAAAAAAACCCCTCAACAAACTAGGAATAGAAGAAAATGACATATGAATGAATACAAATCAATACAAATAAATACATAAACGAATAAATATAAAAGACCACAGGACACATCACACTCAATTTTGAGAGACTAAAAGCTTTCCTGCTGAGATCAGGAACAAGGCAGGGACGCCCACTTTTGCCACTTCTCGTTCCCATAGAACCGACAGCTCCAGGAGAGGAGACAGGGGAAGAAGGAAAGGTATCTAGGTTGGAAAGGAGTACAATCATCTGTGTCCCCAGATATGATATGACAAGGAAAAAACCCAAAAGGTTCCATGGAATAGCCTGTTGGCACTAACAAATGAATTCAGCAGAGCAGCAGCAGGGGACAAACCAACAACACCCAGTTGCATTTTTGTACAGTAATAGTGAACAGCTCAAAAAGAATATTGTGAACATAACCCCACGTGTAATAGTATCAAAAGGAATAAAGTACTTAGGAATTAACTTAAACAAGGAGGTGAAAAGCCTGCACAAAGCAAACTACAAAACGTTGTTGGAAGAAATCAAAGAAGACATAAATGAATGGAATGACAGCCCATGTTCATGGATTGCAACACTTAATAGTAAGATTTTAATACTACCCGAAGTAATCTACAGTTTTAATGCAATCACTATCATATTCTCAATATTTTTTGCAGAAATATAAAGACCCATCCTAAAATTCACATGGAACCTTAAGGGACCTTGGACTAGCCAAAACAGTCCTCAAAACACCACAGCTGGAGGGCTCATACCTCCTGATTTCAAAAGTTACTACAAAGCTACAGTAATCAAAAGAGTATGGCACTGACGTAAAGACATGCAGACCAGTGGAATAGAATACAGAGTCCAGAAACAGACCCTCACTGAAGAGCATGAATCATTTTTGACAAGGGCACCAAGTCCATTAAATGGAGAAAAGACAGTCATTTTAACAAATGGTTCTGGGTAAAGTGGATATCCACATGCAAAAGAATGAAGTTAACCCGTAAGTAACGCCACATGCAAGAATTAGGTCAAAATGGGTCTACAACCTAAGTACAAGGCCTGAAGCTATACAACTCTTAGACGAAAACAGGACAAAAGCTTCGCGGCATTGAATTTGGCAGTGTTTCGCTGGATATGATGCCAAAGGCACAGGCGACATGAGAAAAATGCACAAATTGGACTTTAAAAATTTCAAATATTTTTTGCATCACAAAACAATATCGACAGAGATAAAAGATAACCCCAGGAAAAGGGAAAAAGGTTTGGAAATCATGTATCCGATAAAGGGTTCATATATAGAATGTATAGAGAACTCCTAAAAATGAATAACAAAAAAGTCCCCAACAACACAATCCAAAAGTGGGCCAAGGACTTGAGTAGACATTTTTCCAAAGAAGATATACAAGTGGACAATGAGCACGTGAAAAGATACTCAACACCACTAATCATCTGAGAAATGAAAATCAAGACTGCGAGCTACCTACCACCTTACATCCATTAGCATAACTACTACATGTGAACAAGAAACAAGGAGAAAATAACAGGCGATGGTGGGAACGAGGAGAAAGTGGAGCCCGTGTGCACTGTTGGTGAGCACGTGATACAGTGCAGCTGCTGTGGAAGTCAGCACGATGGTTCCTCCCAAAAATGAGAAGTGGAATTACCATATGATTTAGTAATTCTACTGGATATATGCCCAAAAGAATTAAAAGCAGGGACTCATAGAAATACTTGTTAACCCATGTTTCTAGCAGCATTATTCACAATAGCTGAAGTGTGGAAGCGACCCAGTGTCCATTGATGGATGGATGGATGGGTGAGCAAAATATACAGACACACCGTGGAATATTACTCACCCTTCAAAAGGAAACGGAAAAGGGGTGAACCATGAGGACATTACAGTGAGTGAAATAAGCCAGCCACAGAAAGACAAATACCACAGAATTTCACTTACAGGAGGTACTTTAGCAACAGAAAGTAGGACGGGGTTTCCCAGGGGCTGGAGGGAGGAGAGAATGGGAAGCTGTTGTTTAATGTGTACAGAGTTTCAGCTTTTTCAAAGTCAAAGAGTTCTGGTTGTGCATGGTAGTGATGGCGGTACAACATGATGAATGTACCTACTACCACCAAACTGTGCACTTAAACAGTGTTAGGGTAGTACGTGCTACATTATTTTTATTTTACCTCAGTAAAAATATCTAGGAAAAAGAAGGAATGAGCCATCAAGCCCTGAAAAGACACAGAGAAACCCTAACCACACAGCGCACATCACTAAGTGAAAGGACCGGTCTGGGAGTCTTCCTCCTGTCTGATTCTAAGCACATGACGTTCTGGAAAAGGCAAAACTGTGGGGACAGGGAAGAGATCAGTGATGGCCAGGAGTTAGCCGGGGAAACACAGGTGAATAGGTGGGGTGTGGAGGATTTGGAGAGCAGGGAAATGATTCTTTGAGAACTATAATGGTCCATATGCGTCATTATATCTGTACAAAAACCCATAGCACATACATCAGGAGTAAACCCTAATGGACACTATGGACTCTGGGTGATACTGACATGTTGATACAGGCTTATTGATTATAACAAGTGAACCACATTGGTAACAAATGTATCAACGCTGCAAGGTGTTCATTGTGGGAGAGGCCATATGTGTGTGAGTGTGCAAGTTACGTGGGAACCTAAAACTGCTCTAAGAAACCAAGTCTATTAAATTGATCAGGATAATTAAGATTATCTGCTTTCCGTTGAGTGAGTTTTGGTCATCTCTGTCTTTAAAGAATGAGTCCATTTCATCTGAATTTTCCAGTTTTGGAGGATAGAATTGTTTGCTGCAGTCCCTTTTAATTCTATAATGTATGTGGGGTCTGTAGTAATTGCTCCTCTTCTATCCCTGATACTGGTGATTTGCGTCTTCTTTATCTTTTCCTTATCCAGTGCAGACTTTTTCCATTTATTTAGCATTTCAAAAAACAAGTTTTCATTTCATCAATTATCACTATTGTTTTACTATTTTCAATTTCATTGACTTATGCAAGAATCTTTATCATTTCATACTTCAGGCTTGTTAGGGGTTTAACTCACTCTTTATTTTTCATGAAAATATTTTACCTTCTCTGTTTCTTTGTAACTAAAGTGCACTTCCCGCAGGCAGAAGAGTGGAGTTGGTCTTTTTATCCAGCCCGGCAGGCTCTCTTCCCTTCCTCCTTCTCTCTCTTCCTTGGGGACTCCAGTGACACGCAACACAGGAGGTCCCTTGACGTCATCCTGCAGCTCACCAGTGCTCTGTCCAGTTCTCTTCTGCTCTGTGCTTCCTTTACTTGCTGTCGCTCTGCCTTCCAGTTCATGAGTCTTTTCTTCTGCAGCGTTTATTCTGCTGTTCACCTCATTCAGTGCACTCTTCACTCAGACATAGCAGTTTTCCTCTCCAGAGGCCCTGTGTCATTTTAAGTCTTCCTCAACTCTCTTTAATGTGTTTGCTTAACCTTTTCTCTGGAACATTTGAGACATAGTCAAAACTCTTAGTAATTCTGTCTCCTGTGACATTTCTGGTTTGGTTTTGGTGGATTGATTTTATTCTTACTATGGGTTATGTTGTTCTGCCTCTTAGCAGGCCTGAAATTTTTGAAAGAATGTCTAAAATGGTGAATTTTACCTCACTGAGTATTGGACATGTAGTACTGAAATGGATATTCTTGTCCTTTGATCTAGATGTAGTTAAGTTCCTTGGAAATGGCTCACTCTTTATCAGCTTTGTCAGGCAGGACTGAGCCGGCAGTTACACTGGGGCTAATTTCACCCACAACGGAGGCCATACGCTCTGAGGGGTCTCCCTGATGCCCTGAGAACTAAGCTCATGTTTCAGCTGGCAGGTGGGAATAGGCGCACCTTCAGGCACGTTTGATTTCTGGGATTACGCAGTCTAACTTTGTTGCTTGCCCCAGTCTCAGTCTCCTGTGGGTTTGCTTATCATTACTTTGTTGATACTTGAGGAAGATCCTTTGAGGACCAAGGGTTTCTCAGGGCAGTGCTCCCCTCTTCTGGCCCCAAACACTACCTGCCTGGGCCCCCCTCAATTTCCAAGGTCGTTTCTAACTGAGGGGTGCATGGAGCTCTACTCGGGCTCCCCACTTTTGCACTGGGGCCTGGACATGTTCACAGGGTGGCCAGTGGAATGTAGCTTGTTTCCCCCTGTCAGGGGTTCCTGCTCTGTGATCCTCAAATCTAATGCCTGAGCAGCATTGCTCCACAGCTTTGCTAGTTTTTGGTTCGGCCCTGGTGTGAAGGTCATCCAGTCCCTCTCACTCCTTCAGCTGGGAGCAGCCCCTCCTGCCCTCGCTCCCTCAGGTTTCTGCTAACGGTGCAGACCTGCAGGTGAAAGACAAGGAGTGGCCCCAGGCCCACAGAGTCTGTGCTGCACGGACCCCCCAGGTGTTTCCTGATGGGCAAATCTGGGCACGTGACTTTGTCCAGATGGGGTAGTGGGTGGAAATGGTCCCTGGGGCCTGAGAACTCTCTGGACCAGGGCTTTTCTGCAGGTGACCACCCTCGAGGAAGCCCCGGGCACAGACCTTCCAGGCCAGGATGGGAGTCCCACCTGGTGCCCCACCAGGAGGAGTTAGGCCCCTGCCTTTTGGGATTTCTCCATCACTCATTCTCAGAAATACTCATGGCTGGAGGGGACCAATGTCGGTGACAATCATGTGTCCCCCCAGTGCCCCACAAAGTCAGATGAAGGAAGCAATCAGATGATAAAGTGAGTTTATTGGGGTGCCCAAGGTGGTGTTGACAGGCTGAGAGTGGAGGTCGGGTGACTCAAAAGAGAAACAAGGAGGGAAGAATAGGTGACCAAGAGGCATGTGAAGGCAAAAGCCTGGGATGCAGCGAGGTCCAGGGTTCCTGGGAGCAGAGGTCAGGTCAGGACAGTGGAGACCCGGGTCCCCATCCTGGGTGGGGGCAGCTACCTAACACAGCTCAGGACCAGACTGAGGGGTGGTTCAGAGGGCCACAGTCAAGGGGTGGAACGAGGCTGGCTCTTGTGGGACATGTTTGTTCAGCAGCAGGACTTCTGGGCTGAGGCAGAGACATGGCATGCAGGTCTGCACACACGGCGGCAGATGAGGGACACGCAGGAGGCTGGGCGGCAGCAGCTGGGCTGGCAGCAGGAGGAGGTGGGGGCGCAGCAGGAGGAGACGGGCACGCAGCAGGCAGGTCTGCACACAGGGCGGCAGATGACGGACATGCAGGAGGAGGGTCTGCAGCAGGATGAGGGGCAGGGAGTGGCCTGGCAGCAGGAGGGGGCTGAACAGGGGGCAGCCCCAGAGCAGATGGGCACAGAGCACACGGGCTTGCAGCAGACTGGTGTGCAGCAGACAGGTGTGCAGCAGACAGGTGTGCAGCGGACAGGTACACAGCAGGAAGGCTGGCAGGGGGAGGAGGTGCAGCAAGAGGGCTGGCAGCTGGACTGCTGGCAGCACAAGGGTATGCAGGAGCTGGTGCAGGCTGATTGGCAGGGGCTGGGCCCGCAGGCCACCTGGCAGCAGGGGCTGGACACACAGCTCACTGGGGCACAGACGAGGGTCTGGCAGGGGGCTGGGGCACAGCAGCTGGGGACACAGCAGGAGGGCTGGCAGCAGCTGGGGACACAGCAGGTGGACTGGCAGCAGCTGGGGACACAGCAGGTAGATGGGCAGCAGCTGGGGACACAGCAGGTAGATGGACAGCAGCTGGGGACACAGCAGGAGGGCTGGCAGCAGCTGGGAGCACAGCAGGAGGGCTGGCAGCAGCTCTCTGGACAGTCGTCCACCTGCCAGGAGGAGTCAGTGCAAGAGTCACTGGAACCGGGCAGGCAGACACGGCTGCTGTAGCTCAGGTCGCTGGAGCAGATGGACAGGGTGGAGGCAGCCATGGTGGGTGGTGGGGCTGGAGGAGTGTGTGAATGTGTGAGTGTGTGAGTGTGAGTGTGTGCATGATGCCTGGACTGTCATCTTTTATACCCTCCTGGGTGTGTGTGTGTTGCCCCAGCAGCAGGCTTGGTGAAGCCTTCCCTTCCTTGTTGGTGTTGAGTGTTGTGCTGTGACTCCGCATTGCAGGTTCACCGAGTGCCACGGCCTGTGAGCCTCCTCAGTGGGACCGGGGCTCTCCTGGCCAGTGCTTGTCCCAAGAGGAAAGGCAATAGAAGTGCTGTTGGTGCTTGTGCAGGAGCAGTGGCAATCAGGCAGTTCTGAAAGTGACAGCCCTCTTCTCCATCCCATGGGGCGGGGGGCTGCTCTCATAAACATAACTTCTCCCGTGGAGGGAGGAGGATGACACAATCCCAGAATATTTGAGAAAAGGGAAATGTGGTCACCTGTGGATGGTCTGTGATGCTCAGCTGGCCTGGACACAGGGGGATGCACTTTTGTGGGCTGATGAAGCCAGTTGTAGTGGGCGTTGACGGGGCATGTGTCTACTGGGAGTGAGTCCTGGGGTGGGCATGTGTGAAAAAAATGTTTCCTCCGGGGGCAGAGATTGGCTCACAGAGAGCGACAGGGATGCAGACCCAGGCTAGCACAGGAGGAATGACCACGTGTTGGGAGCTGTCCACCTGGTTTCAGGGACTGTAGCGTTTGGTCCCACAGCTGGAGCTGAGTGAAAAGGCCTTGGGAACATGAGCCACTAAGGAGACAGAACATTACCCCCTGGCAGGAGCACAGCCCCTGCCTCCCTCACTTCCCCCTGGTTGGCCCCGGGTGGATGACAGGTTAGCCAAGGACGGGTAAGATCCCTTGAAGGAGGAGCGACAACCTAAGACAGGCACTGTCACGAAGGGCCATCAGGGAAGGACTTAGGGGTCTTCAGAGAAGGGACAGAAAGACCCTCACCCCTTGGCTTTGTCATAGCCTGAGTCCTCAGTCTTTCTGCAAGAGTCTCCTAGTCTCTTGGCCACTTTGCTCTCCCTGCCTGACTCAGCCCGGGAACCATGCCAAGAGACATCTGCAACTTGTACTGGAACAGATGGCTCCTGGGGGCGAATCTGGCCAGAGAAAGAATGTACATTGTGTCCTTTGAGGTTTTCTGTGCCCCGTTGCTGTGAAGCAGACACTTGAGCTAAAGCCAGCCCTGACCACAGACAATCCCTGTGTTTCTTCAACTATTATCTGTAAAAGAGCTCAGTGGCATTTTGCGCACTGGCTGATGAGCTCCATGTGCCTACTATGTATCTCTGTGTGAGCTGAACTCAGTAAAAACGCAGGGAAGGAGATGTTCAGGACCTTTGTCCTTTGAGGGACTGGTCACCTTTCCTCCCCAAGCAAATCATGCATTGGGCATTTTTATTCTCATCCACAATGACAGGGGGAGATCTGTGGGCAGAGCCCCCATCAACCATGAGAGGCAAATGTCTTGGTTTATTGCACCTTGAACTTTCATAGAACCCTCCCCAATAGAGTGCTTAATGCTCATCCATTCCTCCTCTCCTCACAGCTCAGAGGATCGCCTGCTCAGTGTCCTCAGGGCCTCCTGCAGCCCCTGCGTGAAAATCAGAACAGGGTCTCCTCCCTCAAGAACCCCCCTCCACAGGCAGCCATATATAATTGTACATATATATATATATATGATGTATCGTTGGACTTATAGTATATAATAATGTAATGTATTTGGGAATATCAGCACAAAGGAGGTGCATGGGAGCAAAGCTGTGTTGGGCAAAGGAAATTACTCCAGATCGTCACTGAAATCCACAGAAAAAAGTGAGGAAAATCAGAAATGATAAAAAGAAGGTTAGGATAGCAAGAGCTATAAATACGTACTTGTTTTTCCTTCTTCTCTAAGCTTCTTAAAAGTCATACAAATATATTAAGTAATAATTATAACAGTACACTGTTGGGTTGAACATTTATAGGTGCAATATATAAAGCAGCAAGCCCATAAAAAGGACAAGAATGAACACAGTTATATACAAAAAGGAGCCACGTCTTTATAAAGAAAAGAGTTAGCATGAATCAGAAGTCGATTCTGATGGTATAAAGTAAATATATGGTCAGCCCCAGAGCAAACACTAAGGAAAAACTAAAAACTATAGTAAAACATTATTAAAGAAATGAGAGTGCCACACTAGAAAGTATTCACTATATGCAAAGAAAGCACTAGAAAGCAAAAAAAAGGACTGAAGGACCCCAACAAAAAAGGACACAAGAGACAGAGGAAACAACCAGTAACACAGCAGGTAGGAATGTAGCCACCGACGACTCTCGTTGTCAGTGCTAACTGTGTTCTGTAAAGTCACAGTGAACACTGTGTTAGCAAACACTGAACTGTCAGTCCTGGGGAAATGCAGGTTCGTGCCTGTGAGTGTCTGGTCTCCTGTCCGTCAGCTGCTCGCTACATAACCTTGTTTGAAGTGTGTCTGGGGAAAATGCCGTGCATTTTCCTTTACTCTCACACAGAATGCTCTGACACTGGATGTGTGTTTTTTTCCCACACTGACCAATTCTCTGACACGAGCTGGTGTTCTACAGTTCACTTCAATTCCCAAACCACCCAGAGTTATCACAGACCCCGCAGGGGAAGAGCTCAGTCCCACAAGACGGCCCCTACTCCAGATGCCAGTTGCACGTCGCAGGTGTCCAGGTGACCTACCACATCTGTCTGACATGGTCACTAATCCGAGGTTCCCACAACCCCCTCCTTGGATCAGTAATTTGCCAGAGTGGCTGGCAGGACCCAGGAAAATAGTTTGCTTACTAAACTGCTGATTTATTACAAAGGATATTTTAAAGGATACAGATAAACAGCCAGAGGAAGATATACACAGGACAAGGTCTGGAAGAATCCTGAGCACAGGAGTTTCTGTCCCCATGGAGCTGGGGTGCACAGTCTCCCAGTGTGTGGATGTGTTCGCCACCCTGGAAGCTCTCCAAACCCCAATTCACTGGGATTTTACAGAAGTTTCACCATGCAGGTATTATCAATTAATAACTCAGTCTGGTGACCAGCCCTGCCCCCCTCCAGGAGCCACTGGGAGTCCCCTCATTAGAACAAAAGACACTTCCATCACTCATGAAATCCTAGTGAATGTAGGAGCTCCATGCCAGGAACCCAAGTCAAAGACCAAACGTTAGAACAAAAGATGCCTTTAGTGGGCTTACCACTCAGGAAATGACAAGGGTTTTAGGAGCTCCGTGCCAGGAACCAGGGTCAAAGACAAATACGAGCAAGAACTGGGGGCAGAGGCATACCTACAATCTCACACCACGTGTTTGATGCTTACTGTGGATTCATTAACCCTGAACCCACTTCCCACAGCCACGTAGCTGCCTGAATGAAGCGTATCTAACATGTGTCCTCTCTGCGAGACACATCACAGCCTTCCCGCACCTAGGAGTCCCTTTTAAACAGCAAGTCACCAATAGAAGCACAGAAAGGCAAAGAGCGTGGCACTACGTAGACAGATAAAGGACCGTTGTCTCTAGTCTGAGCGGCAACAAGAAGACACACGTTGGAACATCGGATGTTCTGCAGCTCTGTGTGTGCCCGTGAACGGCTGTGCCAGCATTGTGAGTATTGGTTTTTCAGGTTACCAATTTGATTCTATCAAGCAGCTGAATTTGAAAATACAAAATACCTAAATAATGAAGATTAGTGATATAGCAATAATAATTTATGTGTGAATAAATCTAATCATAAAGCAGAGATTGTTGGACTGGAAAAAAAGATTCAACCATATGCTCTCTGCAGGAGGCACATTTGATGTTCAAGTACACAAATCGGTTAAAAGTTAAAGGACAGAAAGGGATATATTGTGCAAACAATCATCACAAGAAAGCTGGAGTGGTTATACTAATAGCATATAAAATAGACTTTAAACAAAAATCGTTACTAGAGCTAAAGAAGGACACTTTATAATGATAAAAAGGTCAATCCATCAAGAGTACACGAATACAAACATTTATATGTTAATAATAACAAAGCACCAAACTACATGAAGCTAAAACGTATAGAAACAAAAGGAAAAATAAATAATTCGACCATATTCATGAAAGACGTCAACATCCCAAATCAATAATGGATATAAGAACCAGACCAAAGATGAACAAGGAAACAGAGGACTTGAACGACACTGCAGACCAGACACCGACCACACTCCCCACCCAACAGCAGCAGAACACAAATTCCTGGGAAGGGCACGGGGAACGTTCTGAGGACAGAGGTGTGCTGGGACACACAGCAGACCTCGGTAAGTTAAAAAGAATAGAAATAACACAACGTATGTTCCCTGAACACAATGGAGTGAAATTAGAAATCAGTAACAGAGAAAAATCAGGAAACTCACAAATATGTAGAAATTAAATAACACCCTCGTAAATAACCAGAGTGCCAAAGGAGCAATCCAAAGAGAAGTAATAAAATACTTGGAGATGAATGAAAATGAGACTGAAAGAGCAGAGGACATGGGACGACGTGGCTGAAACGCTCCTTAGACACATGCAGCTGTGGTACCTGCAGGTCTCAGAGCAATAGCTGAAGCCTCCACTTTAAGACAAGGAGGAAGAAGGGCAAACCAAGCCTAATGCAAGCAGAGTAAAGGAAATAATACACATTAGAGCAGAAAGAAATGAAATAGAGAAACAATAGAGAAAAATCAATAAAACTAAAAGCTGATTCTTTGAAAAAAATCAACAAAATTGACAACATTTTAGGTACATTGATCATGAAAGAAAGGGAGAAGACTCAAATTTTAGGAGCAGAAATGAAGGAGGGGACATTGCTAACAATCCATGGGAATAAAAAGAGAGAAAAACACTGTGAATGACAACAATAAATTGTGTAAATTAGATGAAATGAACAAGTACTCAGGAACAGTAGAACTGAAAACTAATACCCTGAGAAGTGCAAAATATCGTTCGTGTGTTAAAGAAGTTCTAAATC